TGAGCGCCGCGATGGAGAAGTCGGAGAGGTTAGAGGAGCGGAGTCGGGCGCGGGGCCGGGGCCCAGCCGCCCCCCCTGTCTGAGAACCCTCAGTGGGAGTCGACGACATCGCCTCCTCCTGCCTCTGCTCCTGCTGCATCTGCTGCTGCGGCGGGAGGTTCTGCGCTTGCTGCTGCTGGGCGAGGGGCTTCTGGTGCGTGCGATCATGCATCTGCTGCTGCCGAGCTGCCACCTGCGTCTAACCGCCATCTGCCCTGCCATCCTCCCTCTTGAGCTGGCGCCCCCTTGCCCTTCTTCCTCCTTCCCTCTTGCCGGCGACTTCTTTGCATGCGAGCCCACCATCTGCGCATATGCCTCTGGGGTGGTTCCTGGAGGGACTCAATCACGAAAAGCACGGGGGGGGGGGAACTTGGCCAGGAGCGCCCCAATGTCCACGTCAGCTGGCCTCTTACGGCCCTTTGGGCAGCCGCGCTCCTCATCCAAATCCTCCAAAGCTTCATTGTTGTAGCACTCTCCTGAAAAAGGGGGTCGCGTCCATGCCTTCTGCCTCTGCACGAACGCCCCCCCTTCATCCTCTTCATTTCCCAAACCTTGTTCTTGGAGCTCCACCTGGTAGTCACCCAAGATGCGATCTGTATCGGGATGATCATCGAGGGACTCCGAGAAGAGCTGCCCACGTACGATGCGATTGGCCCTCATCAGGGGTTGCAACATGTTCACGTAGCCTTTGGGCCTGCTGCTGCTGGACCGCGTCGATCTCAGCCTGTACCTTGTCTGCCTGCTCCGAAAGAAAATCCTTCTGGATCTGGAGGGATTCCATAATGGCACAGATTTCCTGAACTTCACAATGGAGTTGTTCGAGCCTGTTCTGCTTGTTGCTGATCGCCTGCTCTCCCGTTCGCACGACCTGCGAAAAGGGGGTTGCTGTGTCGAACGTTCCTGACGGACCGAGCCCACTGCTGTCTCAAACCGAGAAACCACATCTGGATCGATTTGGGCCTGCTTGAGGTGGGTGAGGGCGTTCTGGATGCTCTGCTCCAAGGATTGGGGTCCGCTTTTGGGGCGAAGTGGGCGAGCGTTGAGGTTCGGAGGGCGAACGTTTCCTGACCCCTTTTGCCAGACTGCTGGAACTGGTTGGAGGCGACCCACATCCAATTGCCAAGACCTTCGCCTCCTGGACCTGGAGCACCTTTGTAGGCACCGTTGCCCTTACTTGCTTTGCCACCAGTTTTGCCCCCCTTTGAGAAGCCTGGCTGATGAACATCTCCTCCTCCTCCTCCTCCTCCTCCTCCTCCTCCTCCTCCTCCTCTTCCTCCTCCTTTTCCTCCTCCTCCTCCTCCTCCTCCTCCTCCTCCTCCCACTGCTGCTGCAACACTCCCTTGCCATACTCCCAAAAACGGGGGCGCCGAAGGATACTGCTGAGTGACACGAGGAAGAGAAGCACGACAATGATAACAAGTTTTGTACCACGGGTTCTTCTTGTTGCCACAACTGGGGCACACCAAGCCATGGCTGGACATGGGAGGTGCCCGAACACGGAAGAAAAAGGGTCTGCGGCCCCACGAAACCGAAAACCAAAAGGGCTAAGCCCCTTGAGCGAGGTTGTCTTGAGCCAGAATGGCTACGGATTCCTCCTCCGCCTCCACCTCCTCCACCTCCTCCTCCTCCTCGCCGCCGTTGCCCCCTCGACAACGGACACACAAACCTGTCCAGGGGTACGTTCTGACCAGAGTCTCTTGGCGAATCTAGCCGACGCGACGGCGGCGCCCAAAAAGACCCTAAGGGCTGCCAAAAGACGACGTTGTGAAACCCCTGGGAGGCGCCGCCGTCGCCGTCACCTTCCGGAGGGCGCCCGCCGTGTCCGCGTCTCGCGGTGTCGTCGACGTCGTCGTCGGCGACACATCGGCGGCTTCCAGGAGCGGGGGCCTCCAGGAGGAGGTTCGCAACTCATGGGCTGAGGCAGGTGCGTGGCCCAGGGATGGCCGCACCTGCCTCCAGGAGGGCGCGTTGCGAGAAGAGGGGCCATGACAGCCGGGGAGATGTCGGGGCCCCAGCCATGCTGCCCGCCAACCCTCCCGGTCATCCCCCCCTACCTGACCGCCCCCGAGCATCTGCGGGGCACCAAACACATGTTGCGACAGGCCGCGCGGAGACCTCGAAATCCTCAACGATCTCACCGCGCGATCAGTTACCGCACGGCCTCGGGACTTCGGGGGCCCCAGTCGCCCGAGAACGTCCGTGGAGAAGGAAACAAGTCCCAAAGCCGTGAGGTCACTTCGAACCCCCATTGACTCACCACGTGGTTTGGTCACCGCACCGTTTGGGAACCTCCGAACTGGGGAAACCCAAGGGCAACCATACCGCTACTCTTGGGGCGTCTCCTGGGGCGCGTTCTCAGCAGGATTCCCAGCAGAATCCACCCGTGGCGACGAGGACCTCCCCCCAGGCGCAAAAATGCAAAATTGACAGAAGTAGACGAACAAAAACTGCATAAACATAAACTGTCAGGGCCCCGCGCTGATTTTTGCGATCTGCGCTGACCCCCTGCTTGGCGCGCGGAGCGCGCCAGAGGCGGCGTTTAAGGCGCCGCCGAGGGTTCCAGCGGAGATCCAAGAAACCCACGCGGAGTTCCAAACATTGATGTTTATTCCACACACACACACCCTCAACGAGGTTCTTGTTTTCTTTGGGCACCCCGTGCGCGGGAACAGGAACACCCCCCATCAGAATCGGCCTCATTACCATTCCAGAACAATCATCAATCATCACGCCCATCATCGCATCATGACCACCAAACACGGCTATGATCCTCACAACACCATGTTTTCAATGCCACCAGCACCACATCGTGATCATCATCATCATCATCATCATCATCATCATCATCATCATCATCATCATCATCATCAGCAGGATCGTCATCAACATCAACATATCGATCTTCACCAGCACCCTCAGCATCATTATCCTCATCACTACAACGTGTTCTGCAATGTCACAAACTCACACATGCATATTCACTCGAGCGGGAGCCTGGTCTGGGAGTGACTTGCGAGGAAATCCGGGGCGGGACCCCCCCGTGGGGCTCACAACTGATGTTACCAATCCGCGCGGGCCATCGGAACAGCGCGATGCTTTTGGGCCTCAACAAGCTGGAAAAAAGGGGAAATCAAAGGCGGGAGTTTCGTTTGTGAGTGAATTGCGAAGACGTCTCAGGCGGGAGCCCCCTGGCTATGGGGCTCGCCACGGATGTTTCCTATCCAAGAGGGGTATCGAGATTATGTATGTGTCTTCGTGCCGGGCTCTTCCAAACTTGAGTATGGAGGACGGCTCCACCGGCAGCCTCGTCAGTAAGTGATATGTGAGAACCTGTCAAGCGGGGCCCCCCGATGGGGCCCGCAACACATGGTACTGATCCGATAGGTGACCGGACCTTGTAACTGTCGTGATTTCCCCCCTCTGAAATGTGATTATGAAGGGCGCGTCAAACGGGAGCCTCGTCTGCGACTGGATTGCGGAGAAGTCGCAGGTGGGAACCAAGCGGCTTTTGTTAAAAAAACGGGGCAGTTTTGAACTGGAGCCAAATGCGCTAACGACGGCTGCGACGCCGATGCGCGGACGATGATACTGCTCATGTTGAGGCTCGGCGAACAGGAGCCCACGAGGCAGAATTCGGGGAGCACGTCGCGCGCCGCTCGGGGTTCACCTTGACGCACGACTTCTGCCTGACATCCACGCTGTCGCAGGGTCAGACGCTACGCAAAGTCGTCACCATCGACTGCGCCAGGGATGAAGACACTGGTCGTACGGGCACGTCGTACGAACAGCGGTGTCTGCACCTCTACGTCATGTTCTCCCGCGCCACGTGCACGCTAATCATGCTGATCTTGCAGCCGCCCACGCGGGAGTTCCTGGAGCGCGGGCCGTTGGCGTGTTTGCGGAACACGCTGAAGGAATTCGACGAAAGAGTGGAAAGTTACAGGGCTGAGGCGGAGCAATGAGCGGCAGACCTGGGCTTCGCGCTGCCTCCCTCCTGAGCGCGGCCGCGACTAGTTCGAGACCTGCAGAATGGTCCCAACGGCTTGCTCCCGCGCCCCAGCGGCTCGCGGGGCTGTCCCAACGGCCTGGCCCGCCGGGTTGCCCAAGCGGCTTCGCGAGTTGGCCATCGGAGAACGGGCCCATGCGGCCATGGCTGCAAGAGCGCCGAGGAAAATCAACTTGCGCGCCCGTGCTAATAGGAGCGGGGAAGGAGGTGGATGGGCAAGAAGAGGCGGGAGGACGAGGAGACGACAGAGCAAGGTGTGGAAAGACGGCCCCCGCCAGGGCGAAAATGGGAAGGGCGATGGGGAGAAACGGGGCTAGAGCCTCTGCGTTCACAAGGACGACGATGAGGCCTACTTCCAGATTGGACTAGATTAGGAGATTAGCATGTGGGGTTCTACCGTCGGAATAATGTTCTCTTGTTCTTCGAGGAATGGAGGTGGTATTGGCACCTTTGCCTCCTCTGTCGAAGCACCGCTACCGTTGCGAGGCAGGGATTGATCCATGTCCGCCACCTGGGAACCGACGTCCTGGTGCCCCAGCGGGCGGTAGATAATTATGGAGATATACTGCGGCCTCCAGAGGCCCGAATCTGCCAATATCCACCGCCTGTGGGTGGAGGCCCGCGAAGGTCGATACCCCAGGCGGTGATTGTGGATCAACCCCGCCCAAAAAATCTACCGCCGAACACCTCCTCCTCCTCCTCCTCCTCCTCCTCTTCCTCCTCCTCTTCCTCCTCCTCCTCCTCCTGCTCCTCCTCCTCCTCCTCCTCTTCCTCCTCCTTGTGCTTCTCCTCCTCCTCCTCCTCCTCCTCCTCCTCCTCCTCCTCCTCCTCCTCTCCTCCCCCCCTCCTCTTCCTCCTCATCCTCAACCTTCTCCTCCTCCTCCTCCTCCTCCTCCTCCTCCTCCTCCTCCGCCTCCTCGTCTCGACGATCCGTCCTCCCTCGCCGCCCACAGAGCGCCTGGGCGCTGGCCTGGGGGGCGCCCGCAGCGGCGGCGGCAGGTGAGGCAGCCGCCGCTGGGGCCCGCGGGGCGCCGCCCGCGGCCGCTCGCCGCCGCGCGTCGGCCCAGGGCCCGGCGAGGCTGCAGTGGAGGAGCAGCCCGCAGCGTTCCCTCGGGCGGGCTCGGGGCACACTCGAGGATGGTCCTCCCTCCTCCTCCTCCTCCTCCTCCTCCTCCTCCTCCTCCTCCTCCTCCTCCTCCTCCTCCTCCTCCTCCGCCTCCTCTTCCTCCTCCTCCCCCTTCTCCTCCTCGCTCCTGGGACAAAAACTCCCCCCTGTCGCACCCCGAGACAAATGTTTGGGGCGGGCCTGGCGTTTCGCCTCAGACTCCCTCACCACGTATGACACTGAAGCTTAAAAAGTGGCAACAGCTTTACAGGTGAAGGCGGGCGGTTTTCAATATGTGGCTATCGCCTTAGCGCCGCGCCTGTTCGTTCTCAATATGTGCTAGAGCTTCACGGATTGAGGGCGGTTTCTTCTCAGAATGTGGCTCTCGCCTTAGCGCCGCGCACATTCGTTCAGAACAGTTGCAAGTGCTTCACGGATTCCCACGATCAACGTACCAGACATAATGTGTTTGAAGGATTCAGGCTGTTGCGTGTACAACAGTTACGCTGGTTCGCGGTGTTGCAATCCCAAGAATTGCGCTCTGGCACGATCGAGGATCGTCAAGACGCATAGGTAAGGTTGATCCGTGGCGAGGGAATCCCGAGAACAATGTTTTGGCATGCTTCTGGGTCTTCAAACGGCTGTCTTCTAACGAGGCAGATCCCTCAATGGAAATGAACCGCTGTAGAGGCCTGTGAAGAGGAAGCTTGGAGGAAGGGTGCGTTCCAACATCGTTGGTGGCTCTCGGGTTTACACTGGTCCTCCTCCTCCGCCTCCTCCTCCTCCTTGTCTTCCTCCTCCTCCTCCTCCTCCTCCTCCAACTTCTCCTCCTCCTTCTCATCCTGCTCCTCCTCCTCCTCCTCCTCCTTGCCACTGGGTCCCCTTCCCAGGAAAACAAAGGGGTAGCAACCCGTTCGTAACCCCAGTTTGCCCGTTGGGGGCCTGTTCGAAAGAAAATTGCTCCCTCGTCGCCACGTATGCGGCACCCTTGCGGTGGCCCACCAGGTACCCCGCCTGGGCTCGGGCGGTGTCGCGGGTCCCCTGCGCGGGGCCCATCGGGGGATCCCGCACCCATCCCTCCTACGGCCAGGGTGCCCCGCCCTGGTGTGCGTGGGGGTGCGGAGTCGCCCAAGCGGAGTTGCGCCCCCTCAGGTGGCTTCGGGCGGTACAATGGCGTCGTTATCTGAGCCCTACGGGGCGGAAGCAGCTCGGAAATGTGCGGTAGGTGGCGAGCGAGCTGGCCCTGCGAGCTGAAGTGGAGTTAGTAGTTTTGCTGATGTGGTGGGCTGACGGCACAGTGGTTCATGGCTGCAGTCGCTTCTCTTATTCTCCCCTCCTCCTCCTAGGCTCGTTTCGTGGAGGCCGCCTGTGGGGACCGTGCCTGTGGGTTGCATGGGGCGGCACCCACTGTGGTGTCGTTTCGTGGAGAACTCGCGCGGAGTCTGTCGTCGCGCCACCTGCCGCTTGCTTGCGCTCCTCTGCCCCTTTTTCCAGGCCGTGTCAGTGTGCACGTTAAGTCCTTTGTTGTTGCTTGCCACAATGCAATGGTTGTGTTCCGAAATCCCGTAATCCTCCTCCTCCTCCTCCGCCTCCTCCTCCTCCTCCTCCGCCTCCTCCTGCCCCTCCCACACTCGATGATCCTCAGAACGCGTGTTAGCGCCAGCGTGTGTGCTTGCCGGGCAGCGGCTCCTCAATACCTGGACGCCCGAATGATCCGGGATGCCTGTGGTCCAGGGGAACTCCGCGGTGGGCCCCCGAGGCACGAACCCGTAGATGCCCCTGGCCGCCCCCCGCCCCATCGATTCGGGAGGGTGGGACGCCCGAGTGATCCAGGATAACTGCGGTCCGGGGCAACTCCGGTTTGGGCCACCGAGGCGCTAATCTGCAGCTACTTCAGACCACGCACTAGCCCTGATGAATCGGAGCTCTGAACTGCGACGCAAGTGGTGCAATGAGTGCCGACATAGGCCACATGCTGTCGGTGGAGCTGAACAGGGGAAAACACACAGTGAGCTAATACACTTCGTGAGGATCATCGACACACGTGGGCGGTATCCAGAAACCCTGAACCAAAAACGTTGCCATCTCTTGAGGGTGCATGTGTTGCTTCCGCCGGCTTCCGCCAGCGGAGGTAGCCTCCTAATACTTCCGCGGCCTTCCGCTGAACTTCCGCGGCCTCCCGCCGAGGAAGAGATGCCAGCTTCCGCGACTCTCGAGGGCGAGGACACTTCTGGAGCGCACGCGTGCGTAGAGGCATCTTACAGTCATCGTGCTGCCATGCGCGCAGAAGACATCTACACACGAACACCGTGCCAGGTCAGGGCCATCCTTGGCCCTGGCACGGTGTGTACGACCCCCTGGCCGCGCCCAGGAGGGTCCACACGCCATCCTAGGGCACAGGGTGGCCCAAGCCAAGCACGGCAGCAGTTTATAGATGCGCCTTAAGAGGCCCCAAGAGGCGGCCCCCAGGAGGCCCCAACACGGCTTCCAAAGGCCTCAAAACTGCCTCCAAGAAGCCCCCAGGACCCAAGACGGCCCAGGAAGCTTTTAAGACGCCCAAGATGGCCTCCAAGACGGCCCTGGAGCATTCCACGAGGGCCCCAAGTCGGCTCAGAGAGGTTCCCCAAACGACTTCCAACGGCGTCGGACGGGCCAGGGGCTCACCAAGACGGCCGAAGATGGCACTAAGATGGCCCACGCCAATGAGTGTTTGAAGGATGGTGGCATTTGCTTTTTTTCTGCCTTCCGACAGCCCGAGACGGCCAAAGTGCCCCCAAAGATCGCCCAAGAGGCCCCAGACGGGCCTAAGAGGCCTCCAAGACGGCCCAAGGGGCCTCCAAGACGCTCAAGATGGCCTCCAAGACGGCCCAAGAGCCCGCCAAGACGTCCTCCAAGAAGGCCCGAAAGTGTCAAAATGGCCTCCAGACGGTCAAGATGACCTTTAAAGATGCCCACGTGTTCCCCGAAGGCTTTCCAAACAGATTCTGGGAACACATGGTCCGCCTCAATGTTCGGCTACATAGGCGCTTCCAAAAAGGCAGGGGGCGGCGGTGATTCGCCGTAGGCGTCTTCGATAGAGTACCCCTTCTGCGGGCCATGCGGCGCGATGGGCAAGGAACGAAAGGGCCCCTTTGGCCATGGCGAGCCCTGGCCACGACCAGGTGCCCCGACCTCGGGGTCCAAAACGAGGGCCCGAAGCACCAACGAGCCCCATCGTGAGCCGGAATAGGGAACGGCCAAGAGGGGGGTGTCCAAGAAGGGGGGGTGCAAATCATGACCGGCGGCATGTGCGCGGCCCAGCGGGGGGGCCGGGAACGTAATGAAATAAGAAGAGGCGCCATGAAATCTGGGGAAATATCATTGCCCCCGCCATGATATCCACCCCCCCCTAGTCATCACCCCCCTCTTTGCCGCCCCCGACGGAAGCGGCACTTCGTCGGCGCCTTGACGGCACGCACCGCCGCCGCGCGGCATTCGTGCGCCCACCTGGCCGAGGCAAGGAGCCTCCTCGCGCCGTGGGGCTCTGGGCGGCCCGCGGGATGCCGTCGGAGCGTGGCCACGAGGAGACGCGCGCCCCCTCGCCGAGGGCCGAGGGCCGCGTGGAGCTGCGCCCGGAGATGAGCTTTCCGGGGTGGAGAGCCAGGGGTTGCTCTCAACCCTCGCGCCAGCTGTGCGACGGGGTCACGTCACTACGGCGGCAGCGCTACCTCCTGACACCGTGTGGATCTTTCAGCCTTAAGCGATCGCGGCTGTCCGATAGCGCTGATCGATCACTCGATGTCGGCCGATCCCCAGCCACTGGCGGTGCTCAACCTTAAACGCCCGCGCTGGGGTCGACCCCGCGTCAACGCGGCGCGAACCCCCCAGAAGAGCATCTGTATGGTCGTTGAGCCCAGACCTCAAAATCCGCTCAGAATCAGTCTCCAGACTCCTTCCAGCGTCCATCCTGGTCAGCTCTTCATCCTGGCTCGATGTCCGATGGCCCTGGAGCCCAAAAACGGCCCACGCAGGCCGAAAATTGCGGAGTTCAACGTGTCACGCCTGCACCAGACCCTGCGTACCTGTGCATCTGGCGACCTGTCGAAGAAATCTCGCCAGAAGTATCTTGCCATTCTCGGCGTGCAGCAGGGCCGCAGAACCATCAAGAGACGATACTGTGGTGGACGGCCTGTCACAGGGGGAGGAGGAGGAGGAGGAGGAGGAGGAGGAGGAGAAGGAGGAGGAGAAGGAGCGCCACTAGCTTCCAGATGACTTTGATCCTTATGCCAGCAACCTGTAGGGCCGATTCGCATTGGGCCCAGGCGGCAGGAGACTGAACTCCTCATGCGTCTTGGCCCGAGTGGTCTGTAGTAGTAGTAGTAGTAGTAGTAGTAGTAGTAGTAATAATAGTAGTAGTAACAGTAGTAGTAGTAGTAGTAGTAGTAGTAGTAGTAGTAGTAGTAGTAGTAGTAGTAGTAGTAGTGGTGGTAGTAGTAGTAGTAGTGAGCGTAGTAGTAGTAGTAGTAGTAGTAGTAGTAGTAGTAGCAGTAGTAGTAGTAGTAGCAGTAGTGGTGGTAGTAGTAGTAGTAGTCGTCGTCGTCGTCGTCGTCGTCGTCGTCGTCGTCGTCGTCGTCGTCGTCGTCGTCGTCGTCGTCGTCGTAGTAGTAGTAGTAGTAGTAGTAGTAGTCGAGTAGTCGAGTAGTAGTAGTAGTCGTAGTAGTAGTAGTAGTAGGAGTAGTAGTAGTAGTAG